CTAAAATCAGCTCTAAGAAATCACATGGCATTAGTCAACTGCCTAGCAGACCCTTAGTGTTAATGGATAAAATGTTTATAACCATTGGATTTATGGCAGGCTGAGTACACATATTAAGGCAATTAGATTAGTTTTGACTTCAGAAACTAAAGTTCAGAAGAGTGCACAATTCAGATCAGAAGGTAGAATAATTTCTCATAGAAGGAAAAACACCTTTTACCACTTCAGCTCAGGGAAATCAGTCAGTCTGTGAAGCAGTAGTGTTTGGATAGAAATCTTCAGGTTATAGAATGGACAAAGATTAAGCCAGAACAGAATGACCATAAAAAATAGGAACTAGAGTAGGTCATTCGGCCCTTGAGTCTGCTCCACAATTTAATAGGATCATGGCTGATCTGACATTCTTCACATCCACTTCTCTGCCTTTTCTCCAAAACTCTTGATTCACCTACTGATCAAGAATTTATCTCAGCCTTAAATATACACAAGAAATACCTCCTCATCTCAGTCTTAAATTGACACCCACTTATTTTCAGATCCTGCCCTCTGGTCCTAGACTCTCTCATGAGGGGAATCATCCTCTCAACATCTACCTTGTAAAGCCCCTTGAGAATATTTCAATGAGGTCACCTCTCACTCTTCTAAACTCCAGTGAATATATAGTCCCAATCTATTTAGCCTTTCCTATAAGACAATCCCTCCATACCTGGGCTCATCCTAGTAAGCCTTCTCTGAACTGCCTCCAATGAAGTGATATTTTTCCTTAAAGAAGGGGGCCAACACTATTCATAGTACTCCAGATGTGGTTTCACCAGCACCTCATACAATTGCAGTAAGATGTTGCTACTCTTATAGCCTAACTCTCTTGAAATAAGGGCCAACATTCCATTAGCTTTCCAGATCGTCTCTACACAAGTGTAGCACAAGTCCTGACACATGTAACAGCTTTCTTCTTGCCTTATCAAAATGGAGATAGTCACAGTATTCAGCTATAGAAGAGTGAACCAATTGCTTGTGCAAGACCTTGATTATCTTCAGATGATTGCGCAGAGGTGAGCTAATCAAAGCTACCTTTTAGAACACAGAATTGACTTTTGAACTTTTAATATCATGTTAAGAAAAATCACGTGACTGATCAAGTCTTTTATATGTTGATCAGGGACATGTTTTGGAAGGCCACCAGTGACAGCAAGCTGCTTCTCTCTCTCTCTCTCTATCTATCTCCATCTTAGACGGCACCCTGTTTGTTGAGTTTGACTGTATCTACAAGCAGACAGAGGACTTTTAAAGGAGGACTTGAACATCCACAGCAATATTTCCAGAAGATACCAGCTATAATCTTAAACTGCCAGCTGAGAACCAAAGCCTTTGAGCAGTCACAGCCAGACCAGACAACCAGCTACAAGTGTACTTACTGATATTTTTAAATTGAATTTATGACCCTTGTTACCTTCCTCTGCTCTATCATTCATACTTTTTGCATATTTGGTTCAAGTATGTTGGCTTGCACACAAAATCCTGCCTGAATAATTCTTTATTAGTGCACACACTGAATTGATAAATAAATTCTAAATTTAAAAAAAAAATCCACATTATTAACAAACAAGGTGAGCCAAGAATAATTCTAGTTTAACCTAAAACTGTCCTTTTAAAAAGTTCTCCAGTCTCCAGATGATGAATTAAAAATTCGTATTTGGCATGAACATGTAACATTGCAATCAGGTTTTTTAAAAACTCTATGTTGAAAAGCACATGGTAGATACCCTTTCTCACCTGATTAGAAAAATAAAGACTGAAGTGGTTTAATATTCTTACGAAGTTTAGCTAGCCATCTTAAATCTATTTTTACATGAAAACATTCCAGGCAACTGAAATTCAAAATGAGTGAGCTTGTTAATTAGTGACAAGGCTGCAAAAGCAAAGAAATGATAATACTTCAATTTCTATTTTGACTGGGGTCAGGGACAGGTGGTGAGGGTGACAGAGAGGGGAGATTTCTAATTTGAAATAGATTTGGAGGCATTTCTTTGTCCAGAAAGTTAACTGTCTCCTCGCTGTTCCATTGACCTTCGATTTCATCTGAAGCTGCAAGGTTGAAGAAACACAGACAAGCTGGGGGTCTGACACGAATTTCCTCTTCACCTTCACTGAAAATCAAAACTCAGTGCATCTCCATTAATCCCACGGAACAAATAAACGAACTCACTGTAACTCTTTGTACAAACCCCAGGATAATCATATTCTGTCTGGGTCATTTTGACCTAAATGGAATGTAATCTGCAGAGGGCTTAAAGGATGAATGAGGTACAAGACCATACAAAAGCATCTGAATATTTCACCACAGGTTTCCAATAATGCAGCCGTTTATCTTGATACAAAAAAAATACCAAAACACCATTTTATATTCTGATACTAGATCATGATGCCACAGACTTTTTAATGAATAATATATTAATTTCTGTCGAAGCAATGAAGAAACATGTCTTTTTTCATTCCTTTGTCAGAAGCAGTCAGAATTCAGAAATTAAAATATCTGCCTCAAATAGCTATGAAAATGAATAGCAATTCTGCTTTCTACTTCTTTCTGTTGGTAATACTTTCCCCTCTTGCCCATCACATTGCACTCCCTGATTAAGATGGTGACATTCATATGTCAATACAATACTGCAGCTGGCTCTGAGGTGATACTGTGTCACACTAAAAGAAAATGTTCATCCACAGAGGGCCTGCCAATAATCATACAGAAATGAAAAGTCCTAACAAAATCCCTGGTCTGTGCTGAGATTAGTGTTGGGAGGGACACTACAACTGGTTTCAGTGCCTCAGGGTTGTAGAAGGCATTATAATTTATTGAGGAATTCAACCAGTGGTCACTATCCAGAAATGCTTTTGGAAATTATTAAATCTAGACATGAGATTTGGCTGTGTTGACCCCTCTCATTGACCTCAGAGCCCTTCGCTATCCTCCTCTACAACTCCAATTACCATTCACCATGCATGGTTCAAACGACTTCACCCATTTTGGCAGAATGTTGGAAGTGACCAGTTACTGTGGAATGGCATTCCAGCATCAGTTAATTGGTTCACACAAATAATAAAGGAGAGAAAAGTGTAGAGAAAAATCATAGACTAAAATATTGTTAATAAAGCTTTTTAGTAGTTGCTTTGAAGTCACACTTCACTATTTTCTAGGCACAGCACCAGTTCATTATCCAGAGAGGCCTATAATGACAACTGAAGGAAATCTATAATTATTGGAACATACAGCCAAGGCATGGATAAGTGGAAAAGAAACTGCCAACATTGTCACATTCACTGGTGTAGCTTGGAGGAAATCTGGCCTCGCTATTCCCTTAATTCTCAGAAACGTTAAAAAAATTTTATCCAAGTGCCAATTTGCCTATTGGTAGATCCATGCTAACAGAAAATAAAGTCCAAATTTCTGTTCTTAAAGAGAGTAAAGTTGCCATAGTCCCAGAGGACATAGGGCTGCTCTCTCATTAGAGGAAGCCAAACAACTATTTATTTCATAGATTCTAATCCTGGATAAAGAACTGTGAACTGCCAACATTTAGCTCTGCTGTTACAGCTCTTGTAGTGCAGCGATAGTGTCCCTTCAACTGGACCAGGATTCCAGACTTTAAGTTCCACGTTCTCCAGAAGTGTGCAAGAACATCTCTGAACAGGTTGATCAGAAAATACCTACAACTCTACTGTTTAAAATTCTAACCTCTCCTCTAACCTCCCAAGTCACCCATACAAACAGACACAGATAAACAAAAAAAAAAAACTGGTTTTATGGATGGATGGATTAAACTTTAATAGCAACAGTCCATAGAATTTGCTGAGATCATCATTTTGATTGGCAGGACTTTCTATACTTCAATCTTTTTTCTCCAGATTCTTTTCTCTTTGAAGGAACAGGCACCAAATATGGTATATTTCCTGTAAAAACTAATAGCTACAATTTAAACACCACTGCTGCAGCAACTAATAGGCGAAAAATAAACTGGCTTTCTTCAGCCTTTGGGTATTTTACTGGAGAGTGAGAGAGAGAGAGAGAGACAGACAAACAGAGACACACATGCTATTTGTCCTTTCAGCAGTCCAAAGGCTTCTGCCAGTATCATTTGCACCCACATGCTGTTCAGCTACTCAAGAGACAATGAGACAGTTGTCAGGCCAATAGTCTTTGGCATCCACAGATGGTAACAACTCCACAAATCAATCAGCAATCTGCTGCCAGCTAAATCTCACTTTGCACACAGTCGCTGGAGTTGCCCTGTCCCCTCTCACATTTTCCTCTGCTGCTTGCAAAAGAACAGTGTAAACTTGACTTAAAATGAGTGTCAGAAACTTGCTTTTTAAAATGTACACCAGTTCCTTCCTCAGTCCTTTTTCCAATTAAGTGCACAATCAAAAATAAAGTAAACTAAAGAGATACGGTCTTTACAACACTGCATCTCTAGCCATATCTATACTTTATGTTCATTGGGACAGCATGCTCTGACAAAAACATTCTTTGCAGTGGTCCTAGCATATTCAGAATACAAATGTCTCATTGTCTAATGATGCTGCTACTGAGATTCACAATAAAAAAAATCACAATTTTACTAGTATTTCCATTCCCTTCCTGCAAGGAATGATGCCAGTTCACCTGTCACCTTGCTTCCAAAAGCCTAGCTCCATTACACAAAATCACTCAGATTAGAGATAAATTTGCGGACTTCATGTTTATCTATTGTTTCACTTTTCTTTAATAGACAATGTTTCCATCAAATAAGTGAAACTGCAGGACAAAATGTAAGCATTCAGTCCAATAATCATGAACAAAATGATGACTGACATTTGTTTTTGCAAAAAATCACTACTTCCTGATCAAGCAACATCATTGAAAATTTATTTAGACACGTCTTATAGATGTGTAAATGTTAGTAAATTCCCATGGCACTGAGCAATTCTAAGGATATATTTCTAATTAATTTTTGTTATTCTCTCACCATTTGTGAACCAAAGTTCCGTACTTCATGTCAAAGCAAAAGACTGTTCCTGTAGATGAACCATACTTCCTAAGCACTGAAGCAAGTCCTTGTGCTCAAAGGAATGAGAGATAACATTCCCACAGCTTATAACAGAAACCTTTATTATCTCTGGATTGCACAAAGAATTTCTACTGGGTACCCACGTCAATTTCAATGAAAATAAATACCAGGAAAGCCAGACTCTGTGCAACACACTAACTTACTGTCACAACTCGCAATAGTGAGTTGCAGAAGCTACGGTAAATAGCAATGATGATCGTAAGTAACTTGCTGGCGCACACTATGCTAGCAAGGAAAAGAAATATGGCACATTAAAATCATTTTATCAGTAGCATCTATTCCAAGTGGACATGATTGATCCCATTCTGGCAGAAAAATTGGCAGTTTTTTGGAAGATTCAGTACAACGGCTACTCCTTTTTGATTTTCTGTCCGTGCACTCAAGTTAATAGTTTAATGGAAGAGAAAGTTCTTTGCTGAAGTCCCATGGACTGAAAAATTCATTGATTTCTGATCAATGGCAAACTGATTATTTAAGTATCAAAAGTAGACTTTTAAATGCATGTTCTTCCAGACATTGATATTTTAAGCTTGGACTTTATTAGCTCATCTGTACATTTCATTCCAACTTTCCTCCATCTTTAACTTTAAAATCTCTTGTATCAGTTAACCTACAAGTAGAACTGCAGGCAATAGCATTGCAGAATTCCCAAAGCTTTGAATCTGAAAGCAGAAGACTCTATGCTTTCACTGCAGCAAGATAAACTAGTGATACTCAGAACTGAGGAAGGGCCGGGGACCCGAAACATTAACTCTGATTTCTCTCCACAGATGCCGTCAGACCTACTGAGCTGTTCCAGCAATTTCAGTTTTTGTAATGCTCTTGGGACATGGGTCCACTGACAGCAGACTGAATGTAATTTAAAAAACTGGAATATAAAACTCAAATCAGTAATGATAATCATCGATTGTTGGAAAAATCAAATCTGGTTCACTAACGTCCTTTCCTGCTTTAAGAAAGGAAAATGGGTATGTACGGTAAATTATGTCCAAAACTACAGCAACCATGGTTGATTGTGAATTGCCCTCTGAAACAGGTAAGGAAGCCACTCAGTTTCAAGGGCAGTTATGTACGGCTGCAAATTCTGGACTTCCTGGTGACGCCTAAATTCTGTGAATGAATAAAAGGAAAATAATCTTTATCTTATTCTTTGGTTGGATTTTTCCAGTTTTATAATCTGGAAATATTATGGTTTTGCAAGAATTTGTAATAATGATGTCCTAATGGACATTGAATAAGATATAACAAATTGATTTTAACAATAAAGTGCTTACCTTTTCCAATGTCTTTGCCCTCCATATCCTTGAGAACAACAGACGTCTTTCTGACAATCAAGACTGCATCCCCCTCCCATTTCTTGTGTTTCTTCTTTGATGCTTTACACCACAAGACACTGTAGTACGTGGTGAAGGAATTGGGCATGTTTTGTTCATTGTCTGGATTTGTCTGTTGTGACACAAGCGGCAGTGATGTGCGAATTTGTTTTAGTACTGCAAAGAATCGGGATGGCTTCTGCTGTTGCTGAGGGTCAACATCTGCACAAAAGCATAATATGCTTAGATTACAGACTGTATTTGAGATGAAAAAACACATTTATATGGGAAATGTCACTTCAGGCTCTGGAGCACATAATGATCATTGACTGTGGAAAGAAACTGAATAATTTTTCCATTCTTTAGTGGAATTCACTACTCCGGAGCGGTTATAGGTTAAAAGGTTAGGGACAGCAGGCAGGAAACCGGAGTTGAGGCAGTCATGAGATCAGCCATGATCATATTAAATGGTGGAGTAGGCAAGAGGGGTTGAATTGCCTACACCTGCTCTTAGTTCTTTTGTTTTTTTTTCAGGAAACATTGTGCATGTATGCACATCAAATACAAGTCATACCCCAAAGTCATTTATAATGAAAGTCTTACAGAGACCCGGATTTGGGTTGCTCAATCAGTTCAGTCTGTCACACTTAGCATGGCAATAATACCAATGAAACACAATTAGAGTATTCTCTATGCAACCACAGGACTTTCTCCCCACATTACCATGCATTGGTCACTTCTGCTGATACTATCATGGACTGATGCAGCTGTCACAGATATCAATTGGTGAAGGCAAGATCAAGGAGATTAATGCCTTTTGTTGGCTTCCTCAGCACCTGCGACAGATTCAGACTGGCAGCAATGTCTTTTTGGACTGAGCAAGCTTGGGCAGTAGCGATGCTGCTTGGCATTTTTAATAATGGACACTGAAGGCCCCCATCCAAAGTATATTCTGTGTCTTTGCTACCCTCAGTGATTATTCCAAGTGGTATTCAACAGTGTCATGCAAGCCCATTGACTGCTTGATTATGTTATGTGTTTTGAAATGTTCTGTTATTATATCCTTTATAATAGATTCTAGCATTTTTCCCCAATGACAGATGTCAAGCCATGTGGCCTATAGTTACGTGGTGGATTTTTTTGTCTCCACCCGTCTTTGACTAACGGTGTTAACTTTGGCAATTTTCCAACTCTCTGGGGCTATTCCAGGAGCTAAGGATTCCTGGAAGATTACTACCATACATTCACCATCTCTTTAGCTACTCCCTCTAACCCATCAGGTCCAGAGGACGTATCACCTATCAGCCCCGTTAGTTGCCCTAATACCATAAATTATCATGAAAGAAAAAGAGTATTTATTTCCTCCCTTCCCTTCAGTCCCTTGATTGTTTAATATCACTGGAATGCTATTTCTCTTCTCTACTGTATAAACTGATGCTAAGTATTTATTCAACTCCTCTGCCATTTCCTAGTTCTCCACTGTTATTTTCATAGACTCATTCTCTAAAGGCTCTAGGTTCATTTTGCCTTCTCGCTTCCTTCATTTGTTTAAAGAATTTCTTATTGTCTGTTTTGATAGTATGTGCTGGTTTCTCCCTCTTTTATTGGTTATCTTTAATACATCAAACTTCACAGCTGTGTCAGTCACCAAAATCTTGTACAGTAATTGAGTGCTCTCCCTGTGCTCCTATGTTTCAGACCCCATCCCAGAGTATGTTCACACTTCAGTTCAGTCTCATGAATGTTCCCCACACTCAATCACACTTTAAAATCCCACACTCCTTGATTATTCAAAAGTCAAGGTAGCCATTTATTTTTGTCCAGGCTTGCATTCTCCCATGCACAAACCCTAATGCTCTGTTTTTTCTAGGTTAGAGCACCCCACTTCATCCTGACCTTACCTGACTACATCACAACCCTACCATTTGTGAAACCATGCATGTTGCAGTAGCTTCACAAAAGCCTTTCACATAATCCACTATTAACTTGCTTGCAAACTGTCAATTATATTATAGATCACACTTTCAAACAAAAAAGTGTTCATCATAGAAGGGAAGGCTATAAGAAAATTAAGAAAAATGCTTGAAAAAGTGTCTGAAGAATGCCAATGGAATTACATGAGATATGTTGTAAAATGTCTGAAATGTGCTTTAGAATGTTTTTGCCTTGAAAGGTGCCTCATGAAATGAAGTTTGATTGTTAGGTAAAAAGGGAAAAGTAGTTATACACAAACTTAGCAAGTGCAAACCCTGGAAATTCCCTCTAATTTTAATTATACCAGGAAGGTGTGTATGTATGTTACCTAATGTTATTAACAATTTCAGAAACTGAAACTATTGAGATTGCATTTAACAAAACATTAAGGGAGACAAAAGCATAGTAATACTATCACTAGACTATTAGTCCAAGACCCATGTAATGTTCTGGGAACTTAGGTATGAATGCTGCCATGACAAGTGGTTAATCTGAATTCAATAGGAAAAGAAAATCTGTAATTAAGAATCTAATGGTGACCATGAAACTATTGCTGATTCTATAGAAAACCCCATCTAGTTCACTACCGTCCTTATCTGGTCTTACTATCTATACGGACTTCAGTAAGACATTCGACAAGATTCCTCATGGTAGACTGGTTAGCAAGGTTAGATCACATGGAATATAGAGAGAACTAGCCATTTGGATACAGAACTGGCTCGAAGGTAAAAGACAGAGTGGTGTGGTGGGTTGCTTTCCAGACTGGAGGCCTGTGACCAGTGGCGTGCCACAAGGATCGGTGCTGGGTCCACTGCTTTTCATCATTTATATAAATTATTTAGATGTGAACATACGAGATATGGTTAGTAAATTTGCAGATGACACTAAAATTGGAGGTGTGTGGACAGTGAAGAAGGTTACCTCAGAGTACAACAGGATCTTGATCAGAAGGGCCAATGGGCCAAAGAGTGGCAGATAGAATTTAATTTAAATAAATGTGAGGTGCTGTATTTGGAAAGGCAAATCAGGCCATGACTTATACACTTAATGGTAAGATCCTGGGGAGTGTTGCTAAACAAAGAGACCTTGGACTGCAGGTTCATAATTCCTTCAAAGTGGAGTCGCAGGTAGATAGGATAGTGAAGAAGGCATTTGGTATGCTTGCCTTTACTTGTCAGTGCATTGAGTATAGGAGTTGTGAGGTCATGTTGCAGCTATGCAAGACATTGGTTACGCCACTTTTGGAGTACTGTGTTTGCAAGGATATTGTCAGGGTTGGAGTGTTTGAGCTATAGGGAGAGGCTGAATAGGCTGGGGCTATTTTCCTTCGAGTGTCGGAGGCTGTGGGTGGCCTTATAGAGGTTTATAAAATCATGAGGGGTATGGACAGCGTGAATAGGCAAGGTCTTTTCCCCAGGGTTGGGGAGTTCAAAACTAGAGGGCATAGATTTAAAGTGAGAGGGGTAAGATTTAAAAGGGACCTAAGCAGCAACTTTTTCATGCAGAGGGTGGTATGTGTATGGAATCAGCTGCCAGAAGAAGTGGAGGAGACTGGTACAATTACAACATTTAAAAGGTATCTGGATGGGTATATTCTGAAGAACATGAAGAATTCTGATTTTCTGAAGAAGGGTCTAGGCCCGAAACGTCAGCCTTCCTGCTCCTCTGATGCTGCTTGGCCTGCTGTGTTCATCCAGCTCTACACCT